TGAATAGTGTTTTCGACGGAGGAAACGGCGGGGGACTGTTGATCTACAGGAGCAGTCACCACGTTTAAAGACTTTTACTAGCGGTAACCCAGCGCGCCGACAATATACACGATGGGTCATTCATTTGGTTAGTCTTGAAGTCTTTGGTTTAAATTTTGGTGGTCTTGGTTTTTTAGAGGAAACATTGTTAATTTGGCTGGTTTTGGGCAAGTTGAAACCAACGAGCGAACGGGCTAGATATATAACAGATTTTAGATGCAGTTACAAAGGCGCTATTTGTCCAGCAATTATGATTGAAACATAATGTTTAGCTGTCTTGCAGGAAGGGCTTAAATTAATACTTCAGACCGAAACAATATATCAAAGAAGTGAACTGATATGAGTTATGCAAGGGTGCACGTAAGTAAAGGTACGTGTAACCGTGTATAAAAAAACAGATTACAAATAATTGCACAATTTGTACATGGAGCATATGACTACAAAAGTATGAAGTAGGTACTAATCTTGCATACGTGCTCAACAGAAAGGCACCGAAATCTGCTTTAGTTTGTACTTCAAGCAATTGATCCCTGCGTATATATCCAAACCTGATGGTAAAAGTAAAGGAGTTTAACCATCAGAGCATTCTAGTGATGAAAGTTTTTTATCGAGTGAATGGGATGGGATTATTTTCGATAACAAAAGGGTGTTGTAGTGGAGGTAACAGAATTGTATATAGAGGGCCCAAAACCAATGTGGCCCTTACTGTGTTGATGGTGTCTACTACAAAATAACCTAAAATAGTAGAAGTTGCATTAAGGAACAAAGAATGGTATTAGTGCTATAGAGGACAAACAGGAATGACAGGGTGAAATTAATATTGCATATTTATTTACCATAAGGTTCAGGAATCAATTCTCTTTCTTTTGCACCTAGAACAATTGACTGTTGCGTACGTATGCAAAAGAGAAGCTGTAAAGAAAACCACACAGAAAATGTTTTAGTAAGAAACAAAGTCCTGTATTGATAAATGGTGCGGGGGATATTATGAAGAAATCTTGGTCCAAAGAAACATTACCCTGTAACAAAGGGGTAGCGTCTTAGCCGTGGACCGTGGAACAGAACAGTTATCTGAAAAAATATAGCCTATGCAGCCCTTAGATTGAAGCTGAAATATAGCAAGAGCTGTGTCAGGGAACAATTAATTGCAGGCAGATCTTTTGAATAAAAAATTGTGCAATGGGAGTAATCGCCTAGGCTGAGAACATTGGTCTGATACATCACAAAAAATTTTGCTGTACAACATATTCGGATCTTGACTTGGATTCATACTCATGTTACGGGCTCAGCAGCATGAACAGTTCAGCTGGCAGGGCTGTACAAAAGATTAGCTATCAAGGATCAGCAATAATAGCTGACGAAGAGTAACATGAATAAATTTAGTTTTTTAATAATAAGGAAAGATAGCATCCTAAACATCTTGAATAGAGATGGCTGCAATATATGCGAAGGAAATACAATGGAATTAGACAGGAAACCTCGGTCCAACTAATTAAAGAACCACAGGTAAGTGCTCGAAAGGTAACTGCAAAAGCAGAAAAGTTGGGTGTCGAGTAGCAGCATGAAAGCGGAAGCATATGCTACATTTGTATTTCTTGGGCGTAAAAATCAGCACACATAGGATTAAGATATGGAAGCACAAAAATCTAGAAGAACATTCAGGTGGTATCATAAGAATCACTGCTATAAGCACTTATCAAATTGACCAGATGAAACCATTATAACAACAATGCTCTCTTTCCCAAAGGCAGCACCATCAAGCAAGCAATCAATCAAACAAAGGTTGGCAGACAAATTATCTTAGAATAACGGTAATGTGTTAACGTAGGTCACCAACAGTAGGGAAAAAAGTTGATTCATAATAAAAGTTAGGTTGAGTGAAAAGGAGAATCTCAGCAACCTAAGACAGGAAAAGTAGGACCAAATTATCTATAGGAATTGAGGATACCAGTGTAGTATATGTCGAAGATATGTTTTTGTCAGGAGCAACCCAAAAACCTTGATAATATAATCACACAATGGTCATATAGAAGAATGTACACAATCTGTCATAACAAAAAGGCAACTATATTTTTTACGGTCAAAACCTCGTCCTGCGAGTATAAATGTATTATTCCCACGTGGCAAGCTAGAGAGCAGAAATATCAATAGATAGGCAACGGGGTAGCATAATATGAGAAAATGCACATGAGAAGTCAATTTCAGATTATCTAGGACAAGCTGAGTTGGAGTGGGAACGATACATCTAACATGATCAGAAACACAAGAAAGCACACACCTTATTACTACTACAGGTGGAAGTATGAACTGTCATTGCTGCTCTTTGTACTGGAAAGGAGAAGATATAAACTGCACATACAGCAAAATGGATAAAGAAATATGGACCCGAAGGCAAGAGCATAGGAAAAAGAAGCTTATTTTATACCTGTATCTTCAGTACCGGCACTGCATGGCGGCAGGCTAAATAGAAAGACCAATTTCTAGGCAACCATCACCATGGCGTGAGGCGGGGGAAGGAACACAACAGAATCCAGATGACGAATCAACGGTAACCCAGATCCTGAGAAGAAGTTTTGAAATGCGGTTTGGAAATGGGACGGTAATATGGATGGAGCGTCAACCATTGACAGAGACGGTAATATGGATGGAGCGTCAACTAAAATAAGCACAAAAGTAAACCATGGATGTCTTCCAAAGCAGTAACCGGAGATGCAATGGACTTACCACGTACTAAAGGATGCAGCAGGACTGCTTGCACAGTTTGGGATTCCTAAACATCAAGAAAATTAAAAGGAACCTGCAAACTAATCTTAGCACCTAAAAGCTGCATCACCTCAATTTGAGCAAATATAGATTGGCCCAGTACGCGTCGGTAGAAGCCGTGGAGGACGACGGCGGAGACCGCAGCGAGGATGACGGCGGAGGGTCTGTACGGACGACGGGGGTAAAGGAAGGGTTTTTTATCCTGGGATCTGTTCTCATATGCAGTGGATCGACATGAACTCACCAGATTTGGGCGTTGTGGATGGGGATGAACATCAGCAGCTTGTCAGGTCTACCCGACGGCGCTGCTCCGGGGCCATGCCGCGCGGCTGCGCCGCCGAGCCCCACAAGCGAGATGGCCGGGGGCGCCTCCGCGCTGTTGCCGGACCCAGTAGAGGCGGCGCTACTGCGGGGCGATGCGGCCACGGCGCCGGCGGCGGAGGTCGCAGGCGGGCTCGCGGCGGGCGGAGGTCGCAGGTGGGGTCGCAGGCGGCGGATTTCGTCTCTGTCGTTGCCCCCGCCGCTGTGCATATTTTTTCCCGTTGTGACGGGGATGAAAACGGATCGCATACGGATATCACCGATATTACATTTTTTTTTTTTTTTTTTCCGGATTCGGATTTCAATACGGACAGTGTCAACTATGTCGGATAGGATACGATTGGATATCGACATCATAAATATGCGATTTAAGTATTTGATACGAATACGGTATCGGATGTTGGATATCCAGACTCAGATACGGACAGATCTCAACTCCTCTAAACGGACTTGGTTTCAAATACGGTCGGAAAATATCCGTGCCGTTTTCATCCATAGGGATGGGCGATTGAGGCAGGTGTGAGGTCATGCGAGGGCTGGAGCTGCATGGGGGCCAACTGCGGGTGGGGAAGCGGCGTGGCGGAAATCGGACGACGGCAGGCCAGCAGTGGATCTCGCAAACATTAGGCTTATCTTGTCCGACCACTTCTACATTGACGCACAAACATGGAAAAGCAATGGAGATCAAGATTTATGTATGAAAACAGTTGTAATTCCCTGAGAATAACAGTTGGATAAATATATTCATAAGGATCCGATCGAGTTAGTTGTACATATTAAACGTGGAAAACCTACCGTTTAATTAAGTGGCCCTAGGCATGATCCATTGTCAATGAAATATAACAATGTTTCCGTTCCACAAATGAATCCATTCTGCTGTCCGAATACGATCTCCAAAGCACAGCTTTGACTAGTCCATTTTATTGTCCAATGCTTATTAAATATTCAAAAGTGATTTTCTATCAAACTTAGTTTCATGAAACTAATCTACTCTTCATTCTCAAGTACCAAAACTTAATCCATACTTAATGTAGGGAAAATATTCTTTTCCAAATTTTGATATGACCACTGTCTCAACATGTTGTCCCTTCACTCTCCTAGCATAAGAGTTATGACCGATTTTATTAGTATTAATGTGATGAATAAGGATAAGAGTTATAATAGGTTTATTGTCCCATAATTCTTGACCCAAACTCATGACCATGCCTATAATTTACAATAGCGCGTAGCCAGCCACGATACAAAATTCAATTAAAAAATGTATTGGAATAGATGAGTCAAGCTATACATTACGCTCGAATGCATAGGTATATCTGCTAGTTAATACAATCCAAAGCATTACTATTTATGACTAAAGAGGGTACAATCAATGGATATTCAAGCATGGATACATATATTTTCCTGATTTATTCTTCCAACATTCTTTCCAATGGAACAGTGTATAAATGCAAAAAATTGTTTTGATAAAGTAGTAAGATGTCAGTGGTTGCAAACTGAGTGTAGCTCAATTAGCAAGGTTTCTTGTGGTGAAATCTATTTATTTGGGTTTAAGTCTTTGGCTTAGCACAACCGCCTGTATTTTCTTGTATTTAATTTAACGGCATCGTTTTTTCAATGTCTATCAACAGCAAAGCCTACAAGACTTTATCAATTTCGAAATTTGTGAGTCCAGCTCAGTCTCTTAGAGATGTTCATAGGAATATGATGCGCATGCGTGTGTGTGGGGGGGGATATTCATATGTACTGGGTTTTGAAAAAACAATGTCAGTGGTTCAGTGACCATAATGTCAGACTCAAAGTTGAATGAATTCATAGCTCACCGTTAATTGCTTAGATTTCACAACAAAAAACAACAATCATGGTCATGCTTCCACTTTCTACACTCTGAAGGATTCTTTGGAGGAAACAATTTCCTCTAGGTCTTGTTGTGACACCAGCTTTGTAGAAGGCACGAATTCTTCATGACTGGAAAGAATTGCTTGTAGATCCATGGGCTGAACTGAGAAGTGTTCTCCCAGGGCCGCAATGACCCCATCGGTGAAAACTGACCGCGAAGGTATATACTCCTTCATGCGGCACAAGAAATCTGTGTGGTTTCTTGCCTGGAAAGAAAATGAGAAATCTACATTAATGGTGAACATTTTGAGTTGGCAACCACCTTTCGTAAATCTCAACTGTAAAAAAAATGAGTGATACCATATATCTGAAATAGGCTCCGTTCAAGTGTAAAACATACACAACCAGGAACATGAGTGGTACTGTCACAGAAATAAGTACAGTTCAACTGCAAGATTTCCAAAGCTGAAGGTATTTTGAGTACAAATGAAAAATCATGCATTAATGGAGTGTTCGGTTTGGGGAATCAATCCATACTATGAGGTGATGCATCATTAGTCTATTCCTCAAATTTAGTGGAATGACCTCATTCCTCATGCTAGTACTAATTATTAGCTCATGGTAATGAGTCAATTCATTCTATTCCACAAACTAAACAAAAAAACTAGAGAGTGATATCATGATTGGCAACTTCATTCTACAAACCAAACACCCCCTAAGTTTCTATATATAAAGAAGCAGGCCCATTCCCAGCCATAATCCATGGAACCATTTCCACGCAAAAACTGGATCAAGAATCAAGATAGTTAAGACCTAAGAGCCCGTGGTGAAACCAATATCATTTGCAGCATTACTGGCTGGTTCTCAACATTTTAATCATTGTTTATATGTACCCAGAAAGTTCCAAATGACAGCTCTAACTCTTCAGACATATCGATACATATCGATGAAAGTCATAACAATAGTCATCAACTCTGGTCTAGGCCCGAGTGCGACAGTTTGCCCTTAAAAACTTCACACTCTACCTTCAGTCCACATCACAAACTCGATGATTATTCAGTTACAGCTCGTTCTTGTGTAAAGTGGGTCAATGATTGCATGGAGTTTTGGCAATCCATGCCATTACAAGGCAATACTTCCACAGTCGAAGTTCCACCACAAATCAACTAGCATAGCCAAGCTGCTGTCTGACACCACTGGTCATCATTGGACTATTTTGTGCAATGCCAGATCCTTGCATCCAATAATTGATCAAAAACCAAACTGCTTTATTACTACCCAGCACTTTTCATCTCCTCTAGGTTATCATTCAAGAACAACAATAAAGCACTTACAGTAAAACCCATCTAACTTTTCAGGTTTCAATATACTAAAGCATTTACAGTAAAACCCATTTAACTCTCCAGGCTTCAGTATTAGTGCTGCTCAACTCTTTGGTCTGGCAATCACTGTTAAAACTTTTTCTTACACAATATATACACATGCAGTAATCACTAATGCTGGTAAAGTAAGCCATGATTAACCAACTTCAACCAGTTCTTGGGCCTTACCAGATCAAGGGTCACAACAATTATTGATAGTTCACTCCAATAAGGGGCAAAAGTTGACTTCAGGTAGTTATGGAAAACATTATGACAAAAAGGGCGTACCCAGTGCAGAGAGCTCCCGCTCTGTGCGGGGTCTGGGGAAGGGTGTCAGTGGCAAGCCTTACCCCCGCCTATGCAATGCGAGGAGACCGCGACTCGAACTCGAGACCTTCCGGTCACAGGCGGAAAACATTATGACACCATCTGGCAAAAACTAACAGAGACTTGTAAAGGGTGTTCAGTGTTTTACAGATCAATTGTTCAGGCACCAGCGGTAATGATAGCACACTACTGATGTACAGGTTTCCTACCTGATTACCTATGAGTAACATATATCAAAACTAAAGATGCTCAAATTTGATAGTCTCATTGGAGAAGCTCATTCTAAACATCATTCTCAATTCCTATGCACAAAGGATGCTGAAAATCAGATCAAGACAAAAACAGATAGGATCATACCAGTCGATATTCAGGTGCACGCTTTGGGATTTTGAGATAATCCATATTTTTCACATCATAATCCCACAAGAACGATGTGTGATGAACCCAACGATTTTTTGTTATTGACTGAGCATTTCCGCCAAATTTTCGATGACTAAATGCATAGTCTGAAAAAACAAATGCAAAATAAGTTAATCACTTGGACAGTAATGCAGATCCTCAGCACTGAAAATCAGTTTCCCAACATATTCGGATACATGCTGATGACAAGGTAATCATCGACGAATGTAAATTTGAATTTTGTTATCTAGAAATAGATTATGTTAAACGAAGGATAGTAAACTATGTCCACTTAAATGTAAGAACAAAAGCCATAGTTTTCTATCCTTAAAGGACATACTGGGATACAATGCATTCGAACATGGAATTTTCGCTCACTGTAAGAAATAGAATATTAAGCTGGCAAATGATGAAACTTGGTGCTGATTTTCCATACCATTCTCACGTAGATGAAATTCGCCAAATCTGTCAAAAACTTTGCCATATAGCTGACCACTCCATGACATGATGTCCCGTGGAAAGGGCTGCAGCCCAGTAACGGCATTCTTGTTGCAAATGAAAGTCACAAACACCGTTCCCTGATCAACAATGACGGTGCCACCTCCACTGAACCTCCTCACGACTGGCACCTGGTCCCGAAGGACAGGCTGTATCTCGACAAGCTCTGAAACTCTCCTGCCATCACACAAAACCAAATTAGCAAGTCGACAAGGGGGCTGATGCACGATTGAATCATCCTTCCTGACAAAATCCTAGAGGAGTTTAGTTTATACCCAGACACACCCATGACAATGGTAGCAGGGGCCGTGCTGTCATTGATGATGCACCAGTTGTCTGGCGTGCAGCGCAGGAGCCGCTCCTCCAGGTGCAGCTGCTGCAGGATCGGCACGCTGCTCATAGTGACGAGCCTCATGAGAGGGCAAGCCGCACCGCTCACCCCAGCCAACCCGGCAGAAGCCATACTTGAATCTTGACCAAATATAGGCAGGGCTGAACTATAAGGAAGATACAAACATATCTCATAAATACAATTTGCTAGTCCAAATCCAAAGCAGTTTCATGCGCAAATATATACATTCACAAATTCACAACAAACTTAGTTCTACAACAATGAACATACCCAACTTATTTGTTTAATACAACTAAAAGTTCATGATTAATCTAAATAAGGTTGAAGCTACTACAGTTATGAAATATCCTACCATATAATACTCCCTCGGTTCCAAATTATAAAATGTTTTGGCTTTTCTAGATACATAGCTTTTGTTATGCACCTAGATATACATTATGTCTTTTTATAAAATATACATTATGTCTAGATGCATAGTAAAAGCAATGTATCTAGAAAAAAAACAAAACGCCTTATAATTTGGAACAGAGGAAGTATATTTTAACTCTTTGGCCTAGCATCCCTACTGTAGGTCTGTTACATCTGTTGGAATCCATCAGTTCTGCAGTCCCAAAATCCATAAACTTTAGTTATGAGACAATTTTAATGGATTAATTGGTATATTGGAGAAGCTTTGTACAATTTTATAATGGGCCAATAATAAACAATTAAAGATCAAGCCTTGCATTCTAAAGCATTGATACGCACTCAGAGAAGTACCACTAATATTGGCATTGCTTGAACTAAAAAAATGTGAGCACAAAAATGTTCTTCTCGACATGTGGAGTTGGCTACAATATGTCATTAAATCACTAATCAGTTGCTGAGAATCTACAATGCACATCAAGTGGGGCCAGTGGTGGACCCAGGATTTGACGAAGATTAGGGCCACATTTTAGTGACACATATGGAGAAGAGCAATATGACAAAAGTTTTCAAATTGAAAAGGCTGCCTGAACTAACATGTCTTATAGTGTTCTACAGCAGTTCAAAACATTAACTTGTAACATAAGAAAAAAAATACTGTTGGACCTCAATTCTTGAAAAATGATGTAAGATGTCATCATATAGAGATGTTTTGGTCGTCTTCATTGTGTATTTGTATCATCTGAGCTATCTGTAAATTTAGACTCTAATTTGAGTTTCCAATCCAATTGAATCAGTGAATGTATTATGTATACAACTACTGACGCCTCAATAGAACAGTCATAATTACTAGAGGTTTCAAATTTGGAATATATAGAAATAGACTGGCCGTCCGGCCGGATGTGGATGGGGTAGGGACTGCTGCTTTGCTCTGGCTTCTCTTTTTCTGAAAGCCTCTGGTGATGTCCTGTTGTATATATAATACATTGACTCTTGGAAACTCAAATTAGAGCTAAATACATAATACGCAGAAATTCTGAGCAGTTACAATGAGGCAGAAGCCTCTGCAATGATGACTTCTCAAGTGAAGTGGCAGTCTCGTGATGATGACAGTGGGCATCATTTTTCAAGATTGAGGTCCAACAAAGATTTTTTTTATGATCAAGCCTGTAGCCTTGATGTTTTGAATCAGTGGAGAACACTATAAGATTGATGAGTTTTGACCACGTTTATGTGAGGAAGAACAAGTGCAGTGTTTTTTCAAGAGCGAAAACTTTGTGCATATTGTTTGTGCATATGTGTGACCTAAAATGTGGCCCTAATTTGAGATTTCGCTCCATACCCTCGGGTCCGTATGATTCATGGGCCAAATACTAAGAAGGGTTACACAGGACTATCCACCATTGAGACTAGGGCAGATGCATTGTAGAATTTGAACTCAATTGATTAGTGATTTAATGACACATTGTTTGGCCATATGTGATCACTAAAAACACAGCAAAATCTGTCCACATGAAGAACATTTTTGTGCTCACATTTTTTAGTTCAAGCAATGCCAATATTAGTGGTACTTCGATGATAGAGAGTTAAGCCAGTTAAGCCATATTAGAGTTTTATTTAGACATTATAGCTTTGGATGATAATTGATAGATTGCAGTGTTTACATATATAGGGATTCCGGGAGGGTGGCCCAAGGGGCGGCCAGAGTGTGAAAAACTGTCCGCCCCAAGCACAGTGAAGCTAGGGGATTACATAAAGGAGTAATTAATTCTAACACACCCCCGGCAATGGAACGTCGATGGAACAAACATTCAGTGGAGCGAAATTTGTGAAGGCAGGAGGAGCCCCTTGGTGAAGACATCTGCGTACGGCGACGTTGTAGGAACATGGAGGACGCGGACAGCTCCAAGGGTGACCCGTTCACGGACAAAGTGAAGGTCGATTTCCACGTGCTTGGTGCGTTGATCTTTGAACGGGGTTGGTGGAGAGGTAGGCGGCGCCGACATTGTCGCGATGAGACGAGGGAGGCGGTCTTGAGGGTGGTGCAGCTCACGGAGAAGTTGCTGCTGACCATGAGACTTTGGCGACACCGTTGGCAATGACGACGGTACTACTGCTTGAGACTCGACCGAGAGAGCGATTGGGTTGCCTTTTGACGACCAGGAGATGAGGGCGCCACCGAGGAAGACAACGGCGTAACCAGAGGTGGAGCGGCGAGTGTCCGGCGGCCGGCCCGATCAAGATCGGTGTAGACGACAAAGTCGAGTTGGAGCGAGGCCGGGGATGATCGAAGCCATAGGTGATGGTGCCACGAAGGTAGCGAAGGATCCGCTTGGCGGCGATCCGTGTGAGTCTCGTGAGGATCACGCATGTGAAGGCAGATTCTTTGGACGGCATATGCAATGCAATGTCGGCGAGTAAGCGTCAAATCTTGGAGGGCTCTCGCAAGGCTGCGGTGGCGGTGGGATCATCCACAGGAGGGCAAACATCTGTGGAGACCTTGGCACAAGTGTCAGCGGGGTAGAAAGCAGGATTGCGACCACTCATACCATGGCGTTCAGAATGTCTGTGGTGTATTGCATTGTGAGAGAGGATGAGAGTGTCCCCTGTCACCGAATTCCGCCACGCCGAGGAAGTGATGCAAGGGACCAAGGTCTTTCATGGCAACGCCTTCTTGAGGCAGCAATCACACGGAGGAGGCTCATTGAGAGGAGGCAAGTGAGGACGATGTCATCCACATACTGAGGCAGGTATCTTGTCTCGGTGCGCGTCGGTGTATGAATAGGGAGGTGTCGACTTTGCTTGATGAATCCCAAAGCGAAAGCAGATAAGTAGCAAAACTCTTTGTATTACCACGCACGGGCGCTGCTTCAACCCGTAGAGGGACTTGTTGAGCTTCTGGACATGTTGCAGGAAGCGGTCGGTGAACCCGGTGGGGGTGAGAGCGATGAGCGGTTTCGACAAAGTCCCATGGAGGAAAGCATTCTTCACGTCGAGTTGATGAATGGGCCAATCCGAGAGTGTGCCAAGGTGAGAACGGTGCTGAAGCTGTGGCTGGTTTGATGACGAGTGGCTGAAAGTCTCGTCGTAATCAACACCGGTATTTGTGTAAATCGCATGAAGGACCCAACGAGCCTTTGTATCATCCAAGGAGCCATCAAGATGAAACTTGTGTTTGAAAATCCATTTTCCGGTGACCACATTTGCCTTGGCCGGACGAGGAACAAGGTCCCACGTGTGGTTGTCCAGGAGAGCAGCATGTTCTTCTTCCATGGCAAGACGCCAGTGCGGATTGGCAAGAGAGTCACGACAGGACCGTGGTATTGGTGACAGGGCCTCAGTATGTAAGGCGAGACGAGGCTGCCGATACCCAGACTTCCCGCGAGTCGCCATGCCATGAGAGTTGGCGACCGGAGGGATGGGGACAGCCGTTGTCGGAATCGGAGGGCCGTGCTTGACATAAGCGGGGGGGAGGGTACAATCTTTGGAAGCGTCGAGGAGGGCCTCCGCGTGGCAATGTGGATGAGCGAAGCGAGGCGCTGAAGTACACGTGAGTGACGGGAGGCTTGCTGAAGTAGGGAGCCGGAGGCGCCGAGGGTGCCGCGGGTTCGGGCACGGACATGGTGCTCTGGAGGCGCCGAGCACCGGGCACTGGACGGGGAGGAGCGGGGGCACTGGGTTTGCTGGGCGCCTTAGGTACTAAAGGCGCCCGGGGGCTGGCGTCTGTGATCCAATCACCACGAAGTAGCGGCAAGCGAGGAAGGGAAGCTGGTGGAGGCGATGTGGACGCCGAGGCGCCCAGTCCAGCCAGCGGGGTGGCCGATGGCGATGTCTGGGAGCAGGCACGTGAAGTGGATGTTGACACAGTGCCAGCAAGACCAGGGGTACCTGTAGGTAAAGGAAAAACTAGTAGGGGGTCATCGTTAGTTAGAAAATCAAGCTCCTGTGGAGGAGGTGAGGATCGGCGAAGGGAGAAGCGGAAAAGTTGTTTCATCGAAAACAACATCTTAGGGAAGCGATGTCCGGGAAACGATGACCGGTTGGTGGCGAGATCGAGGCACTGTAGCCCTTGTGATCAAAGCGAGTAGCCGATGAACACACATAGAGCGGGCGTGGAGCAAGTTTGGGGGGAGTTGTGGCGGTGAGATTGGGATAACAGTGCACCCGAAAGTTCGTGAGGTCATGGTACGAGGGTGGGTGCCATAGAGGCGCAAAGAAGGAGTGCTCATGTGCGTGCGTCTTGGTAGGGAGTCGATTCGGGAGGAGAGAGAGCAGCGATGGCAAGGGCATCACCCGAAGAGGAAGGTGGCATGGAAGCACGAAAGAGGAGGGTTCGGATGACATTGTTAGTGGTGCGAATCATGCGCGCTCGGCTTTCCCATTTTGTTGAGATGTATAGGGACGGGACATCGAAGAAAGCGTCGTTGGCAAGAAAGAAGAATGCAGGGAGGCGGAGTTGTCAAACTCACGGCCGTTGTCTGTATCTTTGTTTTGATGGTGCGGTAACCGAGTCCTTATATGAGCAAAAAAATTGGAAATAGTAGGAAAAGTGTCGAGACTTGAGCCGAAGTGGAAAGGTCCAAAGGAAATGAGAGCGATCATCGAGGATAACAAGGTAATATTTGAAACCGGATACATTTGGTAATAGGTGATGTCCACAAATCACAATGCACCAAATCAAAATTCGAAATTTGCTCTAGAAGAGG